ATATATATATATATATATATATATATATATATATATATATATATATATATATATATATATATATATATAGTTTTAGTTATTTTACTACAGGGGTTTTCAAACTTTTTTGTCAGCCGAACCCCTTTGACCAAATAATTTACTTGAAATACCCCCAGAGATTTGAAATATATATTTGAATAATTTAATAGCACATTTGCATGTTTACTTAAAAAATATTTATTATTTATCCTTTTTAAAGTTTTAATCCGTAGTATTTATTGTTATAACACATTTGAACATATACAATTTCATATTAATACAATTCAAATAACATATAATGTACAATAACTTTATTACACATTACATTTTTTTCACACTGGACTATGATTTAGAAATCTTTTAATACAGGATTTCCCAAATGGGGGTTTTCTTATTATACATTTAAGTTTTCACTTTTACATTACATTTGAATAAACCTGTAACATTTCTTTACTTTGAAAAAAAAAAAAAGTTCAATTGTAATGGAAATAACGTCTATATACACTGGTAGACATTCAGTGTGACAGGTGTCCTTTTAATGTGACGGGTGTGCTTGGTGAGCCTTGCACAAACCATCAATTCTGGGGGCAATCTTTGACAGGCACACTCTCATCTCATCTTTGACATCAAGCCTTGCTCTTTGCTTTGTTTTAATGGAGCCCAGGGCTGAAAACCCACTCTCACACAGGTATGTAGTTGCAAAAGGCAAGAGTATCTTTAGTGCCTTTTGTGTGAGCTCTGGATATGTTGACAAAACAACAGGACTCAACCAAAATGATGTTATATCACGTCCACAATTCTGGAAATTCTGACGCAGAAAACTGTCATTGCTGAGATCAATCAACTTGTCCTCCTCTGTCACAGTTAAACTATGAGGGATGTTTGTACTGACCTTTGTAAATGGATCTCTGACCCAGTCTTTGTCTGTTTTCAAGTCATTTTCCACATCACCAAAGTATTTTCTGAAACCATCAACCAGCACAGTGAGATGAGCACAGATTGTGTCCGAGATGTCCACTCTCTCTCCATCATTCAGCTCTGTGTAGCAGGGAAACACGTTGTATCCAGCGTCGAACCTTCTCTGTAAATCCGTTGATTTTGTCGGACAGGTCCAGGATGTTTGTATGGGGACCCTGCATACTAGTGTTAAGTTTATTCAGTTCATCAAACACATCTGCCAAGTATGCAAATTTTGCATTCCATGCAGGGTCCTTGAAGTGTGTGGCCAAGTTCGAATTCTGATCGGATAAAAACTGAGCGATCTCATTGCGCAGCTACAAAATTCGCCGCAAAACGGATCCGCGAGATAGCCAGCGGACCTCTGAGTGTAAAAGAAGTCCATAGTGATCAGAGCAAAATACGAACGTTTAATGGTCGTGTCTTAATGAAGCTGACAATTTTAACAACAGAAATAAGCACTTCATTCAGATCCGGGCACAGTTCTTTTGATGCTTCTCTGTGTAACACAATGCGTTGCCACAATATTGGGTGACACCTGCTTAACTCTTGCAATGAATCCCTTCCTTGAGCCTGTCATTGCTTTAGCTCCGTCAGTGCATATGCCGATGCAGTTCTCCCAACTAAGTCATTTTGATGTCAGCTCCTGTTCTTTCTGGCAGGATCAAGCACCCCAAAACGTCTTCATTGATTTTGTTCTCCCAAACATAGCGAATAAAAACCAGCAGTTGGACTTGACATGCCACATCTACAGACTCATCAATTTGCAGCGCATACGGAGTTCCATTTTTAAGTCTATCAATTAGCTGTGCTTCAATGTCATCTGCCATTTCTGAAATTCTCCTGGAAACCGTGTTATCAGAGAGTGGTATTTATTTAAAACTTTTTTTTAGCCTGCTCTGGTCTGAACATAATTTCGCATATATCAACTGCGGCAGGAATAATCGGAGACTCCGCAATTGAATGGGCCTTTTTGCATTTGGCAATGCGCTGTGATACCGCATAAGAAGCCTTCAGGGCATTCTCAGCCACAGTGGCTGTTTTAATGATCGGCTTCTGCTGTTGTTTTAAACTGTCCAGCTTTGCCTGGAAATATTTCATGTTTTGTTTCCAAATGTCTTCTCAAAAAAGCTGGTTTCATACATTAATTTGCCAGTTTCTCCATACATATAACGCACATGGGAGAGGGCTTGCCATTAGCACCGTCTATGGATGTAAATCTGAATTTGATGTAGTCCTCATTGTACTTACGGTGCTTTTCTTGTTTGGTACTTTTTTGTGCTGGCTTGTGCTTGGACCAGTGTTGCCAACTAATTTTCAGAGAAAGTTGCTAAAGGATGGTCGATTTGTTGCTAAATGACGTTGTGATGTCATTGCGCAATGACGTCATTGCGTAATCACGATGCAAAATTGTCACATCATCAAATCTAATTTAGATTTGTTTGTAAAATAATATGCATGATATAATATTAAAATATAAATAACTGTATTTTTAAATACATTGAATTATTGAAAACGTACACATTTTTGAATGATTTCAATTTAAGTTTTTTTTTTAATAGCTAGTAAACTAGTAATTCTACACATTCTCAACTAATATGCTTTAAGCAGTGTATTAGTAGTTAGTTAGTATGCTACACTCTAAGAAAAGTCTGTAAAAATAAGGCACAATCTACTATGTTAAGGAATGTTTTCATTAGTTATGTTTATATATATATATGACAAATTTGATATAAATATGTATTATATAAATATATTATATTTAATAAATATTGCTAAACCTTTAATACATCAGCAATAATTATTAAACATTAAATGTATCTAATTAAATGTAATATAAATAATATGATTATAAATGTAAGTAGATGTAAAACTTAATCTAAAATTAACATAAATCTTAAAATTAACTACCGTTTTATATTTTTATTTAAATACATTTTATATTTACAACCTGTTTTTTTACATTTGTTTTAAACACAACTTACTAATGCTACAGTTGTTGTTGTTGTTGTTGTTGTTTTGTTTTTGGTAAGTTACTAATTACAGAAGACAAATTGACTCGGTAAATTCCAAACAAATCCATGCCACAAAATAATATTTTATTAAAGCCAACGAAACCACAAAAGCTAAAGTCCTTTGTTTAAAAGCTAATGACTAAAACTCTCAAAATGTGAGACACGTTATAGTAATGTCATTATTTACTGTTTAGATAATATCAGAGAGATGTATGATTCTAGAAGATACAAACAATAGCATAATCACTGTATACATAATGTTCATTGTGACTTTATGTCTGCAGATGGAGTTTGCTTTCTGGCTAGTTCGATACTTCGCCTCAGGATTGCTGTTCCTGTTAGGCCTCAAAGCTCCAGGCTTGCCACGCCGACCGTACATGCTTCTGATCAATGAAGACGAGCGAGATGTGGAGCATGGTGTAGTAAGACATTAGATTCACTCTCAAATCTGCATGAATACATCTTATTCTCTTAATTATTAATCTCATTAATACCTCTCTTGCATCTTTTTAGCCACTCTTGGGTAATTCTGATGAGAATCAGTCTACTTGGAAAGATTTTGGGAAGAAGGTGCGTCTGTTGGTGCCGTACATGTGGCCTAAAGGCAGCGCCCTGCTCCAGCTGCTGGTTCTGCTTTGTCTCGGGATGCTGGGAGTGGAGCGCGTCATCAATGTGTTTGTACCCATCTACTTCAAGAACATAGGTACAGAATAAGAGTCTTATTCAGTTATTTATGCAATGGAGGGGAAATAATTGCACTTTCGGTGCAGTTGTCTAATCTCAAATAGGATCCTTAGCCATATTTGCTTGCATTGGCTGTAGATTCCATACTGTACCAATGCACGCTTTGCAACGAATTTAGATTTTTTTTTTTAAATATACAATGAAAATATAAATATCCATTACAGCTGTAGCAGGTGGATGAATTTTGCTTTTTATTTACACTTTGATATATGTATATGTCCAAAAAAGCAAAGAATATATTGTAGCGGGGTGAATCAGGACACAGAAGATGGATTTTTAACAGCAAAAATCCCCAGAGGGTGATTTATTTAAACAGAGAAGTCATAGTACGGTGCTTGGTGAAGGTGCTCTAGGTCCCAGTGGAAATAGTGTCGTGATCTTCCGTGAAGTGTGCCAAACGGCCAGGAGCTCAGTCAGTCTCTGTAAAGAGGGAGCGAAAACACTCATTAGTCTCTCTCCCAGGGAGCATGTTACTCACCTTGGTGTGTTTTCCCTCCCAGTTTTAAAGCCGTTGCCAACGAGCTCCAGGTATGCTGGCCATTCTGCTCAGGTGTTTGCAGTCGGTGATTAGTGCCGGAGCGGCGTTTCCAGGGCGACGCTGATC